ATATTGCACTTACAGAAAGACTATTATGTTTTGAAGTGAATGCAAGGAGTAAACAGTTTCAACAAATACAGGGCTCATGAAAGGTTATTATTTTGGTAAAACTCATGTTAAAAGTCACTCTACAGCTACACCTAATTCTGCGAATACCCAGGTATTTTGTGAAACATTTATATGATGCTATCTGTAGCCAGTGAAGCTCAAATCACTAATTGCCAAAAACTTTCCACCCAAGTAACATCAGCGCTGACACCTGAGTTATTTTTACAGCTTTCCAGAGTGCGAAGAATCCTCTCTATGTCTTTAAAATTATTTTGAAGCAATTTCACACTATTTATCTTTCTTCCCTGAGATTTTTATTTTAAACAAATCTTATCTGTATATAGGGGTTGTCTGTTGAGAGAGGGTCATTACCAAAGCCCAGTCATTACCAAAGCTGACTTGTTTTCTAAGTTTTAAGTTACTACTCATACTATTATTCCAAAAACGAATTTGCACATGACACGAAAGGGCCCACTACTAAGTTGAAAATATATATAGCATTACCTTATGAACAACATGAAGCACATCTCTATTACTGGACAGAGATACCAAGATGTCGGGATATAAGCGGGGCTGGGGATATAGCTCAGTGGCATAAGCGCCTGCCTGGCAAGTGCAAGGTCGTGAGTCTGATCCCCGGTACCACCAAAAAAAAAAAGTTTAAAAAAAAAAAAAAAAAAAGATGTCCATAAGCAAGGAAAACATTAAAACAAGCATTTTCCAACCACTGTTAGTAAGTCTCTCCCTTGTTCCCCTTAAACAGTAAATCTAATACTAAAAATCAAGCCAGGCAGTAGCAAACACCTAGTACTTAGGAAGGCTGAGGCAGGAGATTGAGTTCAACATGAATAACTTAGCAAGACCCTATATAATTTTTTAAAAATAAAGGAAGATGGCATGGGTCAGTGGCAGAGAGCCCCTGGGACAGATTCTGAGAACTAAAAAAAACTCAACCTCCTTTTCCTACAGATATGAATTTTTAAAAAAATTATTATTATCATTTTTGTCTTTTTGAGACAGGGTCTCACTATGCAGTTCAGGCTGGCCTTGAGCTCCCTTTGTAGCCCAGGCTGGTCTCGAACTTGCAAGGATCCTCCTGCCTCAGCCTCCTGTGTGCTAGGATTACAGGTGTGTGCCATCACGCCCAGCTCGGATATGAATTTTAAATCTTAAACCCAAAATAGTGGCTCACCAAAGGGTTGATGTGCATTTCTATCTAAAACAATCTCAAATCAGATATTTGGAAAAATGGTCAAGATGGATATTAACAAAATATAATATGATCTTGTAGTCTGCCTTTTCAAATAGAAATTTTTTGGAGTGATTTAAAACAGGTCTTGCAAAAGCACTAATATTTTCAAATCATACACACAAACTATCATTTTCTTGTACCTCCCAACTCATTACAATTGCTGGAAATGCTCTTATAAAATATTCCATAAGCTCAAATACTGAGTTGTTTTACTAGAAAATTAAGTTAAAAAAAGTTTCACTAGATATGGACATTAAAGCTTCTCCGCCGGCTGTCATTTCAGGCCCTTGTGTGTCACGGTGCTGCTCTGGGCTGTTTTGAGAAGGCAATGTCTGTCCCTCTTTTGTCACTCTACAGAAAAATAATTTTTTACTTAACTCTAGAATACAGCTTGTATTTTCCCGGTGGGTTTTCATTTGAACACAGTAGGAGATCCCAGTCAGGTTGCTTTATTAAGGGGGAGGGAGGGTAGAAAAGTTTACCCAGATTCTTCTCCCTTTAAGTTGTTGGTAATTCAAGCCAGGAACTTCATCTGAGAATTAGAGAAGACTCGGTTAGATACATTTCACCACACACTAATATTTAAAGACCAACATGAGTAAAACATGGAGAAAAGATTGAAAACTCAAGACAATAACGTTGAGATCAACTTGTTTTATTTTCAACTCGCACTTATGCATTTATTTGCAAAAAATATACCTGTCCTTAACATTACTGCAATGTTACTTTAGTTTTAAAGTAGTGCATACAAATAAACAATTCAAGCTCCTATATATTTTTTTGTTACCAAGCTTCCATAGGACAGGTGTGCAAACGTCAGGTTTCTCAAATCTCCATGCACAAACTAAGCTAACCAAAAATGCTCAAATCACGCAAAATGCCTTTAAGAAGAAATCTCAAACAATGCTTTTTCAAAATCGAACTTTAGAACTCCTCTTTTACAGTTAAACTAGGTTGTCCTTCCTTTCCTTTCATATGCATATACCGGGCTAAAGCCTTCCAACAATAGATCTACTTGGCACAAGGGCATTTCAAAGAAACCAAAACAAAAGGGAAAAAAAAAGAGAAAGGAAAAGAGGTTTACGTTGATTGCGTGCAAGCATTAGTCCACTTCTTCGATGGTGGGGCCCCCGGAGGCCCCGGGTCCCCCGCCGCAGCCGCCAGGACCGCCTTGGTAAAGTTTGCTGATGATGGGGTTGCACACTCTTTCCAGCTCTTTCTGCTTGTGTTCGTACTCGTCTTTCTCCGCCATCTGGTTTCGATCGAGCCAGTTGATCACTTCCTGGCACTTGCTGAGGATCTTGTTTTTATCCTGCTCGCTGATCTTGCCCCTCAGTTTCTCGTCTTCCACTGTCTGCTTGATGTTGTACGTGTAGGACTCCACCGCGTTTTTGGCTGCGACGCGATCGCGATTAGCCTCGTCTTCCGACTTGTACCGCTCCGCCTCCTGCACCATCCGGTCGATGTCGTCCTTGCTCAGACGACCCTTGTCGTTGGTGATGGTGATTTTGTTCTCTTTACCGGTGCTCTTGTCGGCGGCGGTGACGTTGAGGATGCCGTTGGCATCGATGTCGAAGGTGACCTCGATCTGCGGGACTCCGCGGGGTGCCGGGGGAATACCGGTCAGGTCGAACTTGCCCAGCAGGTTGTTGTCCTTGGTCATGGCCCGTTCGCCCTCGTACACCTGCACCAGCACGCTGCTCTGGTTGTCCGAGTAGGTGGTGAAGGTCTGCGTCTGCTTGGTGGGGATCGTGGTGTTCCTCTTGATCAGCGGGGTCATGACGCCGCCGGCCGTCTCGATGCCCAGCGACAGCGGGGTCACGTCGAGCAGCAGCAGGTCCTGCACGTTCTCGGACTTGTCTCCGATGAGGATGGCCGCCTGCACCGCCGCGCCGTAGGCCACCGCCTCATCGGGGTTGATGCTCTTGTTCAGCTCCTTGCCGTTGAAGAAATCCTGCAGCAGCTTCTGGATCTTGGGGATGCGGGTGGAGCCGCCCACCAGCACGATCTCCTGGATCTGGCCCTTGTCCAGCTTGGCGTCGCGCAGCGCCTTCTCCACCGGCTCCAGGGTCCCGCGGAAGAGGTCGGCGTTGAGCTCCTCGAAGCGCGCGCGGGTGATGGACGTGTAGAAGTCCACACCCTCGTACAGCGAGTCGATCTCGATGCTGGCCTGGGTGGACGAGCTCAGGGTGCGCTTGGCGCGCTCGCAGGCCGTGCGCAGCCGCCGCACCGCGCGCTTGTTGGGCACAATGTCCTTCTTGTGCTTGCGCTTGAACTCCTCGGCCAGGTGGCTGACCATGCGGTTGTCGAAGTCCTCGCCGCCCAGGTGGGTGTCGCCGGCCGTGGACTTCACCTCGAAGATGCCGTCCTCGATGGTCAGGATGGACACGTCGAAGGTGCCGCCGCCCAGGTCGAAGATGAGCACGTTCTTCTCGCCGCCCGCGCAGCCTTTCTTGTCCAGGCCGTAGGCGATGGCCGCCGCCGTGGGCTCGTTGATGATCCGCAGCACGTTGAGGCCGGTGATGGTGCCCGCGTCCTTGGTGGCCTGGCGCTGCGAGTCGTTGAAATAGGCGGGCACCGTGATGACAGCGCTCTGCACCTTGCCCCCCAGGTAGGCCTCGGCGATCTCCTTCATCTTCGTGAGCACCATGGAGGAGATCTCCTCCGGGAAGAAGGTCTTCATCTCCCCCTTGTACTCCACCTGCACTTTCGGCTTCCCTCCCTCGCTCACCACGCGGAACGGCCAGTGTTTCATGTCCGACTGCACCGTGGCATCCTCGAATTTGCGCCCGATCAGCCTCTTGGCGTCGAAGATGGTGTTGGTGGGGTTCATGGCCACCTGGTTCTTGGCCGCGTCGCCGATGAGGCGCTCGGTGTCCGTGAAGGCCACGTAGCTGGGGGTGGTTCGGTTGCCCTGGTCATTGGCGATGATCTCCACCTTGCCATGTTGGAAGACCCCCACGCAGGAGTAGGTGGTGCCCAGGTCGATGCCGATGGCCGGGCCGCGGGCGCACATCTTGGGTGAAAGAGGGGCAAGCGACGTTAAGGCGAGAAAGCAGGGAGCGTCCGTCCGCGGGGCCAACTAACGGTCGCCACCGGCCGCCGCGAGCGCGCCCAGCTCCTCCCCACTCTCTCCCGCCCGCCCGGGGCCGCGGTCTTATATCCGCCTCGCCGAAACTCCCACAGCCAATCCGCTCTCGGCCCCGCCCACACAGACTCTTCCCGCCCCGCCACAGGTTTGCCTGGGTCGGAGTGACGGGCCTCTAGTCCAACAGATACGTAGTTGGGTGACGGGCGGGACCCGAGCCGGGCCGAGAGGTGGCCGTTATGCAAATAGCTCCTCCCAGTACAGCCCGCCGCTTGGAGGCGTTAGGCTCGCGTCCTGGCCAGGTGTGTAAACTTTTTCCGCGAGTTTTTCCTTTCCTAAAGCGCGATTCGTCGACGTCTCTCGGATTGGCAGGCCAGGCGACCAATGAGCAGCGAGAACTCCTAAGTGGGGCGCGGCTGGGCGTGGCGCGCGGAGGCAGGGGACGGGCGTTAGCGGCGGGGCTCTACCGGCCTGTGCTCTCAGGCCCTGCAGGCGATAGAGGGGTGCGGGGTCGGTGCTCTGGCCCGCGCAGCCCGCGGCCGAGGGGGCGTTGAGGCCAAGGTGGCTACTCTGAATAAATAAGACCGGTCCACGCGGAGGGCTCAGGCCGGGGCTGGGCTGGGCGGGGCGAGTTCGGCCCCGTCTCGCGTCTCCGCCGGGCGCGCGGAGCAGGGCCGGGCAG